GAAGAAGAAGAGAGAGAGAGAGAGAGAGAGAGAGAGAGAGTTGGATTACTAAGTATAGAGAACACATATTTTTTTAAAAAGAACTGAAAAGCAACATCAAATGGTCATTCCACCAGCCTAGAGAACATTATCTTTGAATAAAAAAATTCTTGAAATTTCTTAGAATCAGTGGGAATGTAATCCTAAAGGAAATAGCTTTAAGCTATTTGTCCAACTAAAAGGAAATGGAATCCAATTCCTATTCAAGAATCAGGATATGGCACCTTGACATGTTTCTAGACTAGAGAGGACTGAGCTGGGACATAATGGTTAAACTACAACAGTGTATTGCAACAGTCATTTTTCTTTTCTCAAGTTACAAATTGTACATGCAATTTTTCTCCTTCTAACCCATAGCATCCAACACAGCCACTTCCCATTTGTTACTTGTCTTGGAGATAAAACCTAGAACACATCCAATGGAGGTTTCACAACAAGACTGTAAACGTACATTCTAGGGTTTTGAGCTTTTGGGAGATGATAAGCGGTGAAAAACCTCTCCAATGACCCTAACAAAGAGGCACCAGTCAGATTGATACTTGCTGGTCGGGAGTCCAAGTGATGCTAATAAATATCAAGCATGAAAACCTTTCCAAATCATCAAACGGTCACTCCAACTGTCTAGCAAAGCAGATATTTTAACAGAAACCCCTTCATTGTTTATTAGTACAAGATTGATTTTCAATTGACCATGATTCCACCTCGATTATTTGCAAACCATCAAACTGATCCATCTAAAGCTATCATGGACTCCCTTTTTAACATGCTGTAAATTTATCATGGCTTTATCTGGATGATAAGTCTTATCAAGATTGATGGCATCTGAAGGTTGAGGCATCAGTAAGTAGCACTAGTACAGAATCCTCTTTTAATTCTGGATGCCATCTCACTAGCTTCTAATGATACATGTACCCAAAAAAACAAAAGCTTTTAGTGATACTGATTGGACATCCATGATTATACTGCCTGCTTTGAGCATATCTTCTTAGCAAAAAGTTTATATAAGGATGCTACCTTATAATGTAGAACTATGGATGCCCCTCAAAAATCCATCGGAAAAAACCCTTTGATTGAGATCATCTCGACATCGAGATGTATGACTATGAAAAATAAAAAGATTTTAAGTCTCAGAAATAGTGGATTTTACAACACATTATCTACACCGTCCCTTTTCAAGATTTTCACACGTTTATAGATCTACTTGATTTTAACCATAT